GAATTAGGCACCAGAACCGGACAGAAATTCATTAGGAGAGGGGTTGGGCAGCTGTCATCCCTTAGAGTCCTTTCAAAATTGTCAGGTCTTATGATTTTTGAAGATGTTCAGATAACAGTGGCATGTGTGTGTGTGTGTGTGTGAGAGAGAGCGCAATCAAGTTTATATATATATAGTGACAGGTTGGGTCACAGAAACCCTCTTGGGAACTGCCACCAGATGTGCTGGGACTACCTCTGAGCCTGTTTTCCCTGACCGCTTGGGACTTTAGTACCTTGCCTTGTTTGAGCCAGACACGCTTGCCTGCTGCAAATACAGATTTAAGTCTGAACCACGTCCCCCAACAGCTGCAAGCTTAACTGAAAACAGCTGAAGAAGTGCTCCTGTCTCCAGCACTTAGATACCCAGCTCCCAATGGGGTTCAAACCCTAAATAAATCCGTTTTACCCTGTATAAAGCTTATACATTGTTCTCCCTATATAACACTGATAGAAATATCCACAGCTGTTCCCCAGGTATTAATACATACTCTGGGTTAATTAATAAGTAAAAAGTGATTTTATTAAATACAAAAAGTAGGATTTAAGTGGTTCCAAGTAATAACAGAAGTACCTGAAGGGGCCTCCAGCATGAACAGGAAAATCAGTAGCAGGTTCATCTTAAGTGAAGGTGCAAATTATCCCCAGCAGCCGGGCCCAGGTATTTCTGTGGGGTGGGAGGGGGGAGACTGGAGCTCCTCCAATCCGGGGGTTGTATTTAAAGAGGAACCCTCCGGGCAGGGATTTGCATGGGGGTTTCCCAGAATTAATATAAGAGATGACAGAGTGTGAGCTCTGTCTACGCTTGGGGATCTCTCCTTGGAACGCACCCTACCCCCCGAGATAATCTTCAGGTACGTGTCTATTGGGGGTCAGGAGGGTTCCTTGCTGCAGTGCCTGACACTCACTTGTACTATCTCCGGAGACTCGGTTTCTAGCACCAGAGCCACCTGGGACTGGTTCCGGCAGCCCGCGGGGAAACGGCCGGAATGGATGGGGTGCACATGGTATAGGTCTGGCAGGTGGTACACTGAGTACCCCAACTCTCTGCAGAGTCGAATGACCATCACACAAGACACTTCCAAGAACCAGTTCTCCCTGCAGCTCCGCTCGCTGACAGCTGCAGACCCCGCCACCTATTACTGCTCGGGGAGAGACACACAGTGACACAGAGCAAAGCTGGGACTTGTAGAAAAAGGGGAACCGGTTTTTCTACAGTGCAGTGATGTTCTGACTACCGTGACATTGGTAACATCACGGGGATTCTGACCTCATTCTTCATGTCCTTTACCCATGTGTAATCATTTACAATTTGCAATGGAAGGGGAACGAATTAGTGACTCTAGCAATCAGTCAGTGACTCTGTTCCCATTGAGTTCTTTGAGGGATGTGGGCATCTGAATTAGGAAAAATTCTCCTCTTAAAAGAATATTATAAGGAACTTAACTGTGTTTAAAGTACACATGCACACAAACTACCTGTATTCCTTCAAGGTGATAAAATATATGTCTGCCTCCTCCAAAAGAAACAGTCAAAAAGCCACAGTAAACATATGTATTCAATATATCTAGGACCTCCTGTAAAACGTATCACCCTCTATGTGCCTCTGATTTTTCATTATACGTGTTATGCTATGAGATATAAAAAGTAATAGAGTGAAAGCACAATAAGCCACATTACCCTCAATAGAGTTACTCCTCACACAGGCTGTGAACGACAGGAGAAACAGCCTGTCTTCTGAGTTTGTAGATGAACACAAATCTAATGAGAAAAGTAATAAAAAAAATAAAAAAAAATATTGGCCTGAATTATATCATGCGACAAGGAGTTCCACTAGTAAATTATGTGGGAAAGGATTCCCTTGTATCCTTTTTCAATTAGAAAAAAAATAATTTCAAGGAAACACCCGCAGTAAAGATACTTGCATTAACTGAGGCACCAACCCAACATCTTTCAAATCCCTGTCCACAAAAGGCAGAGACACAAAGGTCATAGTCTTTCTGCCTGGGAACATTTGGTGAGACACAAGGTCCCAACATTTTATTCTCAATGTTCATACAGTTAAAAAAAAATTATATGTGCCACAGAAGGACAAAAATCTGCCCCATGCAAACTACCATGTCCAGTCTAAACTGAGGAAGCAAGAGAAACAATTTCAAATCACACCTGACGGCCAACAGATCTTCTTCCAAATACAAGGTTATCCACTGCAATAACGATTGGCATTATTGCTTGGAAGGAGGTAAAATATTACCTGACTCTCTTTGCTCTGCCCTATAAAGTAACTCACCACTAATAACCTTAGAATTAAATTCTATCCATCCAAAGCTAAGATTTACTATTTAGAGTTTAGAGTTTACCTTAGGGAAGGATTAAAATTTAGAGTTAAGACTGGGGCGACATTCAGGGTTAAAAGAATGGTTTAGGGTAATAATTAGCGTTAGTCTGACGTGCTGTAGAGATAGGATATAAATTTGGGTTAAGGGTAGGAGTTAAAGATCAGTGTTTGAGGTTAGGGTTACGGTTAAGTTTACACATTTTGTTTTAGCTTTGAAGTTTAGAGTTATAGTTTATTCTCAGAATTACAGTTGGAGTAAGGTTTTAGGATAAGGGTGAACAATTCAGTTTGGGTGAGTTTTAAAATGTAGGGTTAGAAATTACCTTTATGGTGGTTAGGGTTCGGCTCAGGATGTACCATTAAGTTTAAAATATAAATTAAAATTAAAGGTATGGTAAAAGTCAAAAGATAGGGTTAGAGTTTACCCCTGGAATTACAGGTACTTTTAGGGCTATTGTAAGGATTTAGGGTAAGGTTAGATTTTACATTTGCTTTTAGGATTAAGGTAAATGATTAACTTCGGGTTAAGACTGGGATAAAGAAGATGAGAATTTTACCTCCTCAGAATGATGTAGGAAGTTCAAAGCCAATCATGCTCCCATTCCGACAGAGCAGGAGGTTGTACCACAGAGGTAAAATCCAGCCCCTTCTCTCTGAGTCCCAGGCCTGGTCTACACTATAGGGTTAGGTCTAATTTAGCCACGTTAGATCAATTTAAAAATGAATGCGTCCACACAACCAACCCCGTTCCATCGATCTAAAGGGCTCTTAAAATCGATTTTTGTACTCTTCCCCGGCGAGGAAAGTAGCACTAAAATCGACTTTGCTGGGTCGAATTTGGGATAGCATGGATGCAAATTGATGGTATTGGCCTTGGGGAGCTATCTCAGAGTGCTCCATTGTGACTGCTCTGGACAGCACTTTGAACTCCAATGCACTAGCCAGGTACACAGGAAAAGCCCCAGGAACTTTTGAATTTCATTTCCTGTTTGATCAGCGTGGCGGACTCTGCAGCACAGGTGACCATGTAGTCCCCCCAGAATTGTAGAGTGCAGAATGTTTCTACGCTCCCCCTATCATCTCCGTCCCTGAGGTTATCGCAGATTAGAAGATGAAAAAAACGCACTCGTGATTATATGTTTTCCGAGCTCATACAGTCCTCCCGCACTGATAGGGCACAGCTTAATGCATGGAGGCATTCAGTGGCAGAGGCCAGGAAAGAATTAACTGAGCATGAAGAGCCAAGGCAGGACGCAATGCTGAGGTTAATGCGGGAGCAAACGGACATGATGAAGTTTCTGTTGGGGGAGGAAACGGACATGATGAAGTGTCTGCTGGAGCTGCAGGAAAGCCAATAAGAGCACAGACCCCCGCTGCATCTACTGTATAACCGCCTACACTCCTTCCCATGTTCCATAGCCTCCTCACCCAGATGCCCAAGAACCCGGGAGGGGGGGGAGGGAGAGAGGCTCCGGGCACCCAGCCACTCCACTGCAGAGGATGGCCCAAGCAACAGAAGGCTGTCATTCAAACAGTTTGATTTTTAGTGTGGGTACAATAAGTAATGTGGCCTTGTCCTTCCTTCCTCCCCCACCCCACCCGGACTACCTTGTCCGTTATCTCATTTTTTAAAAATTAATAAACAAAGCATGCATGGTTTCAAAACAATAGTTACTTTATTTCGAAGCGGGGAGGGTGGTTGACTTACAGGGAATTAAAATCAACAAAGGGGGCGGGTTTGCAACAAGGAGAAACACACACAACTGTCACACCGAAGCCTGGCCAGTCATTAAAGTGGTTTTCAAAGCCTCTCTGATGTGCAGCGCGCCTAGCTGTGCTCTTCTAATCACCCTGGTGTCTGGTGCGAAACTATTGTCTGACGTTGCTTTCACGGAGGGAGGGGCGACTGACTACATGTACCCAAAACAACTTGTGACAATGTTTTTGCCCCATCAGGCGTTGGGAGCTTAACCCAGAATTCCAATGGGCGGCAGAGACTGCGGGAACTGTGGGATAGCTACCTACAGTGCACCACTCCGTAAGTCGATGCTAGCCACAATAGTGAGGACTCACTCCGCCGACTTAATGCGCTTAGTGTGGACATACACAATTGACTGTATAAAATCAATTTCTAAAAACTGACTTCTATAAAATCGACCTAATTTCATTGTGTAGACATACCATAACAAAAACTGAGCTCACTCCATGACAGAACTTGTGGCTCATATAAACAGGGCGATATGCTAAAGCAAATAAAGGTGAGAGTCTCCTCTTTAAATCCATGCCTCTTTCTGCCCAGGCTGCACCCGGAGACACAATCCACAGCCCCTGGGTCTGTGCAGTGACCAGTCAGTCCCCTGAGAACTTTCCCCTTCAGCACCTGGGAAAATAAGTCTTTCTCTCCTAGTTTTCATTGCTGCGGCTTTGGGAGGTATTTTCTCCCCAGTCAATCTATTGAAGGACGAGGAATTGTCTATGAGTGACACTGCAATGGCTGTGACTGATAACAGAGCTTTATTCTGTTACCTCGCACCTCTATTGGACAATGTGGCTCATTTTCCCCTTTTTGATTTATAGTCACTCCTTCAATGTACCATTGCCTTGTTTTCTCCCTTGTCCCCCAGGGGCCCACTCGCAGGTGATTCTGAGACAGTCGGGGCCAGCGCTGACGAAGCCCGGAGAGTCCCATACGCTGCAATGTGCCACCAGCGAGTTCACTCCAAGCAGCGCCTGGATGTGTTGGTTCATACGGGAGCCCGGGAAGGGGCTGGAGTGGCTGGCCAGGTACTATGATCCCTCCAGCCACAGTTACGCCTCCTCCATGCAGGGGAGATCTACAGCCTTCAAGGACAGCACCACTTTCTGCTTGTACATGAACAGCCTGAAAGCCGAGGACACCGCGGTGTAGAGACACTGACACACCCAGCGAGGGGAAGCCAGTCTGGGCTCAGACAAACCCTTCCCGGGAGCTGCAGCAGAGGCGGTTCGCCGGCTGGGGGTGCTGACCAGACACAGACAGGAAGGGACACGGTGATGGGAGCAGCGGAGACACTGGTCTGGGGAAGAAATGCAGGTCCCCGGGTTATAAATATTTGCAGGACAGCAACATTTCTAAATGGATTTTAATTATTCACCCTGGAATTCCTCTGAACATCAGACACTGCAGTGCTAAGAGCTCGTCTGACCCCTTTTCTGTACCAGAGACAGAAAAACAGAAACACACACACACAAACACAGCGACACATCTCAACACGTAAACACAGGAACACAGACACACCAGAAGTATACACACAAACACATGTTTGCAAACACAAAAATATATACAAACAGCTATGAACACAAAAACACTCACATGCAATCACACACACTTAGGTCTTCAAGCACCCATACCAACACCTACACACAAAAACACAAACACACAAGCTCCCTGCACACCCACAACTGTAACTTCAAGCACTCACACAACTATGTACATGTGAAAATACACACAGAAAAAGCTTTCAGACCATTTCTAAGTGTTTTAAAGGTGCAGACACTGGATTTGAAAAGACTTAGCAAATTCTGCTCTTAGTTACCCTGTCCTGAATCCAGAAGCCATCCCCTGCATTAAACTGAATTATTGAAGATTTTAGTGCCTAACTGAGAACAGAATCTGACCTAACATGGAGTGACCAGTTCAACCAGTTTAGAGAGCGGGTCAACTGCCTTTACCTACCCGTTACAGCGCGGTGCATGGCGGGTGTCTGTAGATCGCTTTCCCATAGTGCTCAGCACAAAACAGAGACGCAGCACAGCTGGGAATTTATTTCCAGTTATGTCACTTATTTCCTCGGTGATCTTGGGCAAGTCATTTCACATCCATGTGTCTCAGTTTCCCCTTGGGCAAAAACTGGGGATAATGCCACTTAACTCCTTTGTAAAATGCTCTGAAATGTGTGGATGAAACCACTGAATAGGAAATAGATTTTACTATCACCATCATCTCTACTGTGATTATCTCGCCCAGCTCCTGCAGAAATGATATTGAGTCTTTGACAGGCTGAGGCCCAGGCCCCAGGACCTCACTAATATTGGGCAAAATCCTTCATTCCTCAATCCCATCAGTAGTCTCGTTATAATCAGTCGGATTTGGTATTTTACCCAGACCAATGAACCTGCCCAGGACTCTTCTACTAATCTGATCGCTCCGAGAGTTTTCTGCTTCAATCACAACTGCTGATCCTCTGAAGGAAACATCCGCTTCATCTAATTAGCTCTGTTCTAGTGATGAGTCCATTGCCTCTGCTGAAGACATTTACAATTCACATTTCAAGGAACAACTAACAACTTTGCGGCCTCAGGGTTATGAACACAGGGCCTGACACAGCTCACGTTGCACTAAACAGGAGGGTTTCCCTGGAGTTGTGAAGGATTTTGTGCCAGGCTTTAAATGAATGTGAGATTCCTTTCTTATACTAAGTGACAGAGAGTCCTGTGGCACCTTATAGACTAACAGACGTATTGGAGCAAAAGCTTTCGTGGGTGAATACCCACTTCATCAGACGCAGATGAAGACATTTTTGCCCAGGTTAATCATGTCACCCGACCTGCTGTTTTCCCATGGGAAGGAATATCCATCAGTTGCTGCATCGGGGAATGGCCCAAAGCCAAATGAAGGCAAGGGAGGCGGCACTCATTCCATTCATCTCAGTGATCTTTGCATCACACCCAGAGTAACAGATTTGTTTCTCTTAGTCAGGGGGTCTCAAACTGGGGGTCGGGACCCCCAGGGGGTCGGGAGGTTATTACATGGGGGGTCAGCTGTCAACCTACACCCTAAACCCTGCTTGCCTCCAGCATTTACAATGATGTTGAATATATTAAAAAGTGTGTTTAATTTTATTAGAGGGGTCAAACTCAGAGGCGTGCTGTGGGAAAGGGGTCACCAGTAAAAAAAGTTTGAGACACACTCTTCACACCATCAGATCTGAGCACTTCATACTTTTTATCACATCTATCCTCACTACATCCCAGTAAGGCAGAAAGGTCCAGTTATCCCCATTTCACAGCCTGAGAACTGAGGTGCACCTATGGGAGTTGGGCGCTGCGGTGCTTTAGAAAATCCCGTTTGACGTGTCAATACTT